CCTTACTCCGATAAAAGAAAACGGGTTACCGCGTTTACATGACCACATGCGTTTTCGGTTTACTAAGCATAATCGTAAATTGTAAATTGTATAAAATTTTAACATTTCATTACATTTTAAAAGAACTGATTTATATTTGCATATATTTTAAAATGGAAGTTATTCTTGTGATGAATTTTCAGCATCTCCAGTCAATCTCCAGTCTTTAGTGTCATATGATCCTTCAGAAATCATTCTAATCTGCTGCTCAAAAAACATTTAAACATTAAAATTGAAAATAGTTGTGCTGCTTAATATTTGTGGAATTGAGGATTCTTTAATGAAGTTTAAAATAACTTCATTTATTAGAAGTAGAAATCTTTTGTAACAAAGTCTTAACTGTCAATTTGCATTGCAGCTGTACATACTGGTTTGGGATTTTCCTTTCCATGTTTCATCACTGGCAGTGGACATCTGACTGTGTCCTCTCTCTGAAAGAGTCCTCTCAAAGCTGCTCTGCGACTGAGAATCAACCTCAGCGTCCTAAAACACAGACAAACACACACACACATATGAAAATCAGAGCCTAATATGCAAATGTCCAATATAAATAGCAAGCAAAGCATGGTGGGTGTGTCTTAGTGTTAGCAGAGTGTAGGACACAGTGTATGACAGAATAAAGGCTTATACGTGCTTGATTGTGGCTTATTATTTGTGTGTGTATTCACAATATTTATGTTATTGTGATCTCACCATGTGTTTCCCTTCTCCCACCTCCTCTTCCTGTCCAGCTGGTCGCCATGTCAGCAAGCTGTTAAGAGCAAAGTCAGAACCAAACTGAGAGAGCATTTCATAAGCAGAGCCCGAACAGCCTTTTCAAACACTCTTCGATTTCAATATCAGCGGTCATGTCAACACCTGTCAAGAGTTGGAATATATTGGCGCATCTGACAACCCAAAAAAGTATTTTCTAGATTTAGCTAGAAAATACCAAAAATTCTAAAGTGTGATTTGAATTCATTTAGATTAATTAGCATATCATGTCATTTATTTGATTGTTTTTGTCTATTTGTTTTTTAGAGATCGATCGACAACTCTCATCAAAACAAATCCAGACGGAAGGCCGTTGAGTGTCATTGAAACAGATGGTGGTGTGCAAGAGTGTCATACACATGAGGGCTGGTGGTCTGGAAGATATCCAGCATGCAGGCGCAGGTGACGTCCCACACCTCCGGACTGAACTTCTCCCCATTCAGGATCACCAGGTTCTCCAGACAGTTTGTGCCTGACCGCGCCAGCTGC